CGCGCGCGCGCACGCATATATATATATATATATAAATTGTTCTCGACTAATAGTACAGATATTCTATTTGTAAATTTACATGTATCCTTTGTAATTTCTAAAAACTTAAATTTGTTTAATGTTACGTAAGTCCATCTTAGTGACTTATGTAATTATCTGTTAATGAAGTTGACTTGGCGAGATTATCGTTCGATTTTCACGAGGCAGCCACGAGAACTAATATAGTTTCGTGCTAATATTATCGTATTCTGCTCCATTTAGCCGAATACGTTTGTATAAATGTAGAATATTTTTTTGTATAAGTCGCAACGTGTACATAAACCAGATGCATCGATAATCGAGAAACTAATATGTGTAAATCTATCACGAATTTTGCACAAAATAGAAACGATGTTTTCAAAAGATACAAACGGAGATATAGATGCCTGTCAGTATCGAGAGGATCACGGGAAAAAGCCAATAAATCCAACCGCAATTAAAATTTTACGTATTCAAAACCACTGAAACATAGTGTAGTTCATGTCCTAAATTTGGAGTGTTGTTGCTCCAACCGGATCGATGATAAAAATAGACATCAGGGAATCATCCGTGTCCAAGAGAATAACAAAAAAATCGCAAAGCATTAAATTTACGAGTTATTTTCCGAGAGAATTTTATTGAAGATGGTATATATGATCTCTTTCTTAGTCTCACTGAAGCGATTTTACATCGATTTATGGCACGGTGATAGAACATCAAGATCGTAATTATTTCGTTAAGAAGTTCTAGTTAAACGATCATACAGAACGTAGTACAATGGGTGCGCAAGGAGAAGACAGTACGTCTAGTTTTTAGGAACAATTCGTTCGGTTGTGTTAGCTAATAAGATGAAGAAGAAACACGATTGCGAGTTTCCGAGGAACGTTTCTATCTTATCGGCATCGATCGGGCGTACTGTACAAGTGCAGTATTACGTGTGATGGATTATGTACATATACATCACCGCGGTTCATATTACCTACCGTTACCGTAATCGTGCGTTCTAAGGAGACGAGAGGTGTACGAAATCAAGCTCGGAAATGGACACGGGCAATTAATCGTTGTCTATAATGACCGACGTGACCTCTCCTCGCTCCGCGACAAACCCACGTGCCCTTCCCTTTTGTACGGCAACAATATTAACCGAGAACGTAAGAAGCGATTTATCCACATTCTCGGTTCTGCTCACCGATTTCTCCTCTTATCACTTTTATTTCTTTCAATGAATCTATCTCAAGAGATGAACGAGGATATGATATGTGGCGAATTGCGCGCGGTACGTGTAAAGAAAGCAAATATTGGTGAGCATTACCGAGGCTTCATTCTACTAACGTGTGTATGTTTCGTGTTTGTAACAAATGTATGCATGTATTTGTGTGCTTGTATGTCGAGCATGTGCGAAATTTTTGCGCGTAAAGTAGGCAAAGATGAAGGGATGATGGATCGGGAGAGACAGCGAATAAGGTATACGTGCGTGCGTGCAAGCGTACTCTAATGAAGAGAAGAATCCCGAGAGAAAACACGTGCCGCATTTCTGATCGAGCTCTCGTATTCGTATCCTGTTAACGCATCTGTAAAGATTGTATATACAGCTTCGTTTCATGTTAGTGAAACAATTACGTGGGCGAATAAGATATGTGATCAAAGATACGAATACGGATCAATGAAGGGACTTGAAGCGTTCGTGTTACCGAGTTAAGAATTCCCCAATTCCGTTCCCTTATCGTTCCATCAAAAAATCTCATTGTTCTCGTCTTCTCCTGTCTCTCATCATCCTCCCCTCGCTTCAGTTTTCTTCCTAACATTGTGTCTTACACAATACATTGTACAAGGCACGTTCCATATGAAGAAGAGTGGAGAAAATGAAAAAAAAAACGTGATAAAAAATTATTCGTATAGATATATTATACCGACACCGTGTTTTTCTATGTATCTTTTTTTTTCTTTTTTTTTCATAGGGTATTACTACTACCACTACTACTACTATCATATTATTACTATTACTACTACGACTATTATCGTTACAACTATTGCTGCTGCTATTGCTAATTGTTATTATGTTGTATATCTCTCATATAGTCCGAATCCTGAAACGATCTATTCGAAACGACGAGAGAAGGACGAGGACAAAGCGATATACTCGGACGGCATGCACAACCACGTATTCTTAAAGATTTTCAAGTAAGAAATTGGACATCATACATTTGATCAACCATATTTTTCAGGGACTGTTTAAGATAGAATGAAATAGATCACGCATCTTGAAAAATATAACAGATCAATCATATAGTATCCAATCTCTTAAGGATCTCTACATATTCTGATCATTACGTTGTATACACGAACCTCTTCATTTCCTTTCGCACAGAGTGTCAAATTAATAAATCAATTGTTTGAAAGCATTCAAAAATCACCAATCGAAACATTTTTCTCAAATTATCTGCGTCTGCGTTTTATAACAAAATGTTTTGGACAATTTGATATTATTACTTCAAAGTCAGGGAGAGACGAAGCGATTAGAAACTGACATGAAACATTTTAATTTGAATTTGCATTAATTTTAATTATGTACTAAATCGAAGATACAAGCTGTATGATATAAAAAAATAATAATCTTATATATAATATGTAAACCTTTTAAGGATTAATATCTTAACATTGTCATTTAAAGTAAAAATTTTTGAATATCATATCAAAAAACATAGGTTTTATTTTTCAAAGATTATGAAAGAACGTTGACTAGTTCAATAATATTTCTTACTCGTGAAAATTGATGTTTCCATGAAAGAGACCTTTCTACACCCTCGACAACTTTACATAATAATTTTGTCGTTAACTCAGAAGCTATGGTATTTCCTCTCTCAAGTCATCTTTCTCATAATAAATCTCATTTATCACTCCAAAGAAGTTTTCGGAGTCAATAACGTTAGTTATCAAATCTCTCTATATCGAAGAGGGAGCAAATATTTGCTCCATATTTAATACTCCATCTACAAAGTTAAAGCTATAAATAAATAATCGCTTTTTACGCTCGCTTGTATGATCTCCTTTCTTTTTATGACAACCAGAAATCTTATAATTATTAGTTATTTACATGCAATTCGTTATCACAAAAGATTTTGCTAGCGATAAAACAAAACGAATTTTACTATCACGTTTCAAAGTAATATCTCGATTGCTGATAAACATAAGAAAATTTTAATTACAATAAAACGATATGACTTCATTGTAATTTTGTATAATCATCAGAGGGGAGATTTTCCGACTTTCCATCGATTAATATATCCAAGAATATGTATACATTATGTATTAGATCAAGGAGCTTCTCTGTGCGAATTGTCGCTTTGAAGAGAGAAAAAAAACACTGCCAGTGCGAGTAGAAGTTCTTGCGTTTACCTGTTTTTGACTGACTAAAGACACGTGCGACGACGATCCGAATTTGTTGCTTCGTCCTCGTAAATTATCATAAATTCGTCGAGCGGGAAATCTTCTCAAGGTGATCGATGCCACCGCGAAGAG